AGTGACATTGTAAATTATAGGGGATTGTTACATTAGCATAGGAATATTTTTGGGGGGTAGGGCAGTAGGGGAAATTGAGTCTATAATGAGTAATGTTGGAGTTTTAAAATTTATTAAGATAAATATATTTTAAAATATATTTGAAATGTATTGGAGTAAGAGAGCATGTGCAAGAGTTGTGAAATCCTATTGTCATACAGATTACTTTTTAATATAGGGGAAACAAATAATAACCAAAATTTATTTTTTAAATATGTTGTGGATGACAAGTGCTAAGAAAGAAAGTGGAGAGGGTAAAGAAATGGAGAGTGATTAAGGTGTGTTCTCCTTTGGATTAATTGGTAGGAAAGCTGTCTGTCATGTGAGACTTATGCAGTAAAGAAGGAAGATTGAGGGAAATAAAAGCAGGGAGCCATGAATATATCACTGGGCAGGGAAAATAGCATATGCACATTTCCCGAGGCAAGGTAGTAATTGGCACATTTAAGAAATAACCAGGAGACCCTAGTGAATGGCATGGAGAACAATGGCAGAAGATGAGATCAGAAAGCTTTAATATGAATCTCTCTCATCTGGTATAATTCTTTATTTAATCAAAATTTTATTGATGTCAGGGAACCTTATCCTACCTACATAGACATTTCATCTTAATTTATATCTTATAAAAGAGGTATAATTTACATAGAAGTAAAATGCACAGCTTTTAAGTGTACAGTTCAATGAGTTTTGAGTATTGTTAAACTCGTACCCCGTAAGAAACTGCATCTATTAAATATTTCTTCCTTTATGATGCTTGTGTTCTCCAACTTCCTGAACAAACTGAACATGTGCTTCTTCTAGAAGGATAGTTGAGTCTTCATTCTTTTTTCCTGTTTGATAATATTATTTGATAATAAACACTATTATTGTTATTACTGCTAATAAGCACTAATGCATACTGAGTCCTTTGTGGCAGACACTGTTATAAAACCTTTATGTGTAATGATTTATTCACATTTATTCTAGACTTTTGAGGAAGTTACCATTATTCTAATCATGTGGGTAGAAAAATCAAGGCATTAACTTGAATTAACTCATGTGCTCATTGAGTATTGGAATCCAATTCAAATCATAATATTTTAATTCTGCAACATATGTGTTTTAGAAAAATACGTATTTTAGATCCTATGCTAGGTTGCCGCCTAAGTGTTGAATTTGATCTTATGAATATTTGGTCTTAATTGAAATTCAAGCGAAGGGCATATTTCTTTGCTTCTATCCCATCACCCTTTACAAAAGGCATTTATTGAACATTACCTTTTTCACTTTTTTTTTTGGTCTCTGAGTGTATCAGCATGGTGTGATTTTTACAGCAGACCCTTTGTCTTAGGCTTTAGGTGGATTCCCAAGGTCTATTTTAAATTTTGATCATCATTCATGCAAATATCAGTCTTTCTACCAATTGTATTTAGAGCCAAATCAGGATTTTTTTTTTTTTAGTGCTTAACTACATCTATCAGTGTGTGTGTGTGTGTCTGTGTGTATATACATATATATATGTATATATATATATATATATATATATATATATATATATAAACTCTGCAAAACTGTCTGGTCATCAGCTTCCAGAAGCTTCTGTATAAATAAAGTTTGCTTGGTGTCTGAACCTTCTGGAAACCCTAACAGCAGTCTTACACTAGCTTCCAGGATCCTTTGGCAGCTTTGAGTATAGCCTCATAAAATAGATTGAATAAATTTGCACCCATTATGCAATTTTCTACTAAAGAAAATGTATGACTATAGATAAAAATGTCCAATAGCAACTAAACTCAATTCCTCAGGGAAGTAATAACCTCCTAATTGAAAAAAACAACAAACCAAAACCAAAACAAAGATGTTTTTCTTCTAATTTTAATAACACAGATACTAAAACCTCTAAACTTTATCTGGATTTTATTTTTATATTTTAATACCATTTTAATAAAGATTGGAAGAATGGTACATATTTTAAAGTAAAAATCTGGAATATATGACTGATATTGTTTAGTTGGCAGGAGAAAAAGGGAAAAGCAACTGATTGGCAAGATGGTACTTGATAGTTTTTTTATTTCTTGACATTTTCCTATCTAGAGGGGAAAATATATATATATATATTTATATACATATGTGTAATGTATGTGAATATATATAATATATATACATATGTGTGTGTGTGTGTGTGTGTGTGTGTGTGTGTGTGTGTGTCAGGGGTAGTCTCCCAAGCTATATCCTCAGCCCTTTCATATTCTGAGACATTCCCAGGTTGGCTTCAGACTTGTGATCCTTCTGCCTCAGTCTTGATATCACTGGGATATAGGCATTCACCACTGAATACAGAATAGAGAAGTATTTTTAAAGAGGTCAATATCTGTGCTTTACTCAAAAGATTTTTGAAATCGTTATAAAAGGTGTCATAATAGGAGAGAGTGGAGCACATAGTTTATACAAGTTGGTCGTGATCCACATTGGATTGGCAAGCCAGGGACTTTGCAGAACTTTGGATTTCCTTACTGCTTGAGAAACAGAATAGTATTTGCAAATAAATAGGAGCTTACTGGAATAAAAACGTAATGCAGATGCTGATTCTCTTAAATAAATCTGGGCCACCAACTGTGCTTATGTTGGTTGGTAATCATGCATCCTTTACCATCTTTCTGCTTAGTTTTGTTCTCATGAGATGAGGAGTATTGGAACATACACATAGGATTATTAGTTTGTAAGTGCCAGGGAATAAGATCCTTTTGAATGGTAAAGCTGAATCTATTTTCAACATAGAGGTAGTTTCAAGATATAAATATAATTAAAAACTTGAATTATGTAAGGAAAAAACTTGCATAAATAAAAAATTTTAATGGCAACTTGGTTTTATCACCTGAAATAGTAAAGTTAGACATTTCTCAGTCCTAATGTCATGAAATGTAGATCTAGCAGGGTATAGAATCAAGATAATTTGAATAATTCTTGAAGTGGCAATAAGGTATAATTTTGACTTTCAATCACAGCTAAAGTTTAAAATAAATTCTCAATAAGCCCAGCTGTTAGGCTCTTATTAGGAAATGAGTTATCTTTTAACATTTTAATAGTTAATGGTAGATTTTCCATTGTAATGATATTCTTCATACATTTTTTAAAAAATGTCCTCATTCTTTATTTTGCATAAGCCTCACAGCATTTTATGATGTAGAAAGGGCAAGAGGTCATCTCTTCATTGATGACAGTCATGGTGCTGCCTACATCTTCAAGATCATTTGTTATATATAAGGTATTCTTTCTAAATCTGGGGAGGGCCATTCAGTAACCATTGGCATTACATATACTTATCCCTAGGATTTTTTTTCCACTGTCATTTGAAGAGACAAACTCCATCTTACGACTAAAGAAAGAAAATTTTATAGCTTGAAGTGTTTCATTTTCCAAATTTAGAAAAATGCATACAGTAAGAGAAAATAAAGATTTTCCCTTGTCATCATATTATAGGCTGAGTTCCAATACTTAGCTATCAATTTCATAGAAAAATAAGGTAGAAATGACACAAATTAGGTAATTAGCATGACACTTTTTTTCTTCGGAAAAACAAATGAAACTCTGTGCCATGTATTCTTTGGATTGCACAATGTCTCCAAATATATAGTTTAAATGAATGTAAATTTTATATGATTTTTGGAAATAGAATCTTTTATAGTAATTTTTTTGACTATCACTATTTGTGAATTTTAAGTTCATATAAAGTAACACATAAATGCTATTTATTTAAAAAATGTCTCAGCAAATTACATTTTATGTTTGCATTCTGAGACATTTTAATAGTTAATGGTAGATTTTCCATTGTAATGATATAAACAAAAGATTATGAAATGTTTCAAATTTCTTTGTATTTAATGTTATTCACTCCAAACTGTCAAAACAATGTTACTTATTCACATCAATAAATTTTGCTTTAGTTGATATGATTTAAAATGTAGCAAATGATATTGGATTATTTTTGGTCTGATTTATTTGTTCTACCTATAGAAACTGGTTAGCCAGATAGTTATTGTTCAGTGTTGTATAAAACAAACGTGGATTGTTTTAATTTTATATTTACATTTAGTGTCTCTCAATGATTGGGTACATATCTGTTATACCATTTAGAATTCTTACTCTGATTACTTTAGGTAATTTTATATTAGATTTTGTTTTCCCCTGTTAAATTGTTTCAAGACATGATAATCTATTCTCAAATGTGCATCTGCTGGGAATACTTTTTATGCAGATCAGATGGGAGTTTTAAAGGTAAATAAGTGTTGATTTATTTCTTGTAGCTGCTGGGTTTGAGACTCTGATATCATTTTTTTAAAAAATTTTCTATACTAATTGATATTGTTTCTTTATGATGTTTTAGAAGCATGACATACTTAATCTTCACAGTAAATTTTTAGGTATGACACTATAATCCTTATTTTACAAATGAGAAAGCTGAGGCTTGGAGAATTTCCCAATGCTATGAAGTAAAATACCCAGACCTATCTATAAAGACCAGCTCTGAGTCACTGTAGAATTTAGTATCCCAGGATTATTTCTATTTTAGTAGTATTGGTAAATAGTAGTAGTTACATTTATAATTTTTTAGTATTTTTGTATTTTTTAGTATTATTTAGTATTCAGTATTATTGTGTAAATTCAGAAATGTGCTATTTGACAACCTGTTGTTATATAGAATATCATTGTAGGAATTAAGGTAAAGGCAATACGATTTGAATAAATCATTAATTTATCAATGATCCAGCAGAGTAGTGATGGATCTAGTATCAGGTGTTAGAATTGTAGTCAGCTCTCTTGGTAACAACTTTTATCTACTTGGGCTTTTAATTTTGATGACATGAATATTTAAATATTTGGGAACATGAAATAAGTCATGTTTTATGTTATATCTCCTTTCTGCAAAACAAAAACCCTATATAATAATGAAATTCCTTTCTTTTTTTTTTTTCCTAATACAGTGGGATGCATCCTGCTTTCAACCTGGAGTTCACCTCTGTGGCGTGGATCTATCCAAGGAGCATTTGCCTTCAATCTCTGTGTTAACTAGAAATCAAGTAAAGACATGAGGAGATTCGTTTACTGCAAAGTGGTTCTGGCCACTTCACTGATGTGGGTCCTTGTGGATGTCTTCTTACTGCTGTACTTCAGTGAATGTAACAAGTGTGATGACAAGAAGGAGAGGTCCCTGCTGCCTGCACTGAGGGGTGAGTACCTGTGAAGCAAACTGGCAGTGACAACAAAATATAAAACCTCAAAATAAGAATAGTATTGCCTTATTCCAAGAGCAGAAGTGTTAATGTACACTTAAGCACATGGAAGCGACTTCCCTCTTCTAGGTCTTAGGGGTTTATTGGAAAGAATGAAGAGTCAGTTAACCTCCCGGATACCTTTAATCTTAAATTCCAGTCTTCTGTGACTGCATGAAAAGAACTTTCAGATTTTGGCACAAAATTTAAAATCTAGGCTCACAGGAGCCAAAAACCTTTAAAACCCAAATGAGATAGATGGGGACAGTAGCAAACTGGAATGGCATTTGTCATCCCTAATGATTTCCAAATCAGATTAATTTTTTTTTTTTTTTTTTACAATAAAACACTTGCAAGTCACCAGATTCACCTGTGGGCCAGCAGATCTTTGGCTCTATGTTAGGAAACAAAGATAATTTCAAGTCTATTGTAAAGTTACCTTATGTCAGTATTTACAATGACTAGATTCCAATTAATTCTAAAGAGATTATTTGTATAAATGGTGATTTTTCAGATAAAGGCATAGGGATTCATTTTCTGCAAAATTATTACAAATAACTTTCTCAGTACTTTCTTTTTTGGTTGACTTCAAGGTCTATCAGTAGTTATATTTCTGAAATATTCCTCATAAATGGGTACTTCTAAAGTACATAGGGTGGTTGAAATTAGTTTATTCTCTTAAACAAACATTAATTAATTCTCTAATTAGCAAAAGTTTTCTTCATAACTATGATAAAAGGTAAATTTTATTTGAATCTAGTTGAAATTTTCATAACATTCAAAAAATGAATCTAAGTTACCAAGGTGAGATTTGCCTTTATTTACTAATTATAGTATGTCTAATGTTATAGATAATTTTGAAGTTATTTATTAGTCAAGATACTCAAATAGAATTTCATTTATTCAATTATGCAAGTTTTAGGGAAACACAGAAAAACAATTCCAAAAATTAATTTTGTCCAGAGAACATTTTGAAAATTCTGGGTTTGCTTTAGATAAAAAAAAAAATGCTCTCACTCAGTTGTAGAAATTCTGCATATTCTCTCCTTTCAAAATGTTTCTGACACTCTCACTTTAGTTTTTGTTTAGTTTTTGACTAGTAAAAAGAATTCAGAGAAAAGTTCTTTGGAAGTGACTGAGTCTAGATTGATTTAGGTAGATTATATGCATTTTCATAGCTTTATTCTATAATTATTCAGGAAGAAGAACTTTATGAGTCCATTGGGTTTTGATAAATGAACATGGGATTGATTTACTGATCTATAGTTAAAGCCCTGAAGTAAATAAGCCTTTTTTTTTTTTTTTTTGAGTCTGTTGAGCTATTTCTTGGCTGAGTGGAAGTCTGTCTTGATGGATCATAACCATTTAGAATGATCACTTTGTTGAATGGAGGCATCTAGTTCAGTCACACACAAAAAGTTATGACCTGATTCAGCAAAAACAAAACAAAACAAAACAAAACAAAACCATCAGCCTTTTTCTCAAGTACCCACAAAAGTACAGTTTTGGTGATTCAAGTCCTTAATGATTACTCCTAAACCTTAAACTGTGAAATTTAATGATGCAAGGCAAAAATAATTTTTCCTTGTATTTAATTTAAAGTTAAACCATGTTGTCTTCATCTGTAAGACTTTTTGTCTGATCAACACACTGTAGGCTGGGTGACTCACTTAGAACAGAAACTTACAAAACTTACAACTCAGTTTTGGATGATGCGAAGTTCAAGATCAAGGCACTGGTTGATTGGTGTCTGTGAAGAGCTTGTTTTTCATGTAAAACTGACTTCTCACTAACTTCACCTGGCAGATGATTGAGGGATCTGTTTGAGACATTTCTATAAGGGTGTTAATCCCAATCATGAGGGCTTCTCCCTCAGGACTTAACCACCTCCCCGAGGTCATACCTCCTAATACTATTGCCAAACCTTTTAGAGTTCTAACAGGTGAATTTGGGGCAGAAACATTCAGTCCACTGTACTTTAATTTGGCACATTAATATCATTTGTCCTGTAAAATAGGAAATAGACATGAGGTTTTAATTTTATATTTTATTAGTATTTCAGATTATTTAGGAATTTGTACTATATATTTAGAGTGATTTATATGCAGTGATTTTGTAGAAAGTGTGTCTGACTTATATTTTTCTTCTAAATCTACTGAACAATGACTTTTGGCTTACAGAATTTGATCTTTCTGGGTTGGATTTGGTGGTTTCTAAGATGACTTATATTTTTAGACTTTACATAATTTTTAAGTACCCAATATTAACATCCACTATGGATTAATTTTTGAGATATTTTCATTTATTAATTCATTAATTATTTATTCAGTGTTTACTGTGTACTAAATCCTAGGAATAGATAACTAAGGCCTTTGCAGTTTGGAATGTAATAAAACTGGGATTCTTCTAGTCATGGAGCTTATAGAGAATCACAAAGTAATCATTCCTCTCTCCACATGCACACACACATACAGTCATGTGTTACTTAAGCATGGGAAGGGGAGACAGTGGGAAACATTGTGGAGTGTGTTTATATAGCTAAGAACGCTGTAGCCTCACTAGGTAATGAAATCTTATGGGAGCACTATTCTATATGCAGTTTCCATTGTTGACACATATTCAGTTAAATATACAAATTCAGCTAAAATGGTAAAGTAAAGTACATATAATTACAACACATAATGTTAGGATGAAGAAGGTTGCTCTAAGCTGAGGAAACAATCTAGGTGAATAGGTAAAATTTCACAGAGGCTATGGCATTAAGGTTAAGGTCTACAATACAAGACTTGGAAATAACTACTTAAAGAAGAAAATGCAAAATTTTATATAGATTACTAAAGATTTCAGTGTATCTTCCACCAGAATAATTTAAAAAGAGAAATTGCAGAGTTAAAATTTGACTATTTAAATAACAGCTCTTAAATTTTAGAGTAATCAAAACAGTATTGACACAAAGCAGAAGTATAAATTGTCCAAGGAAATAGATTGAGACCTTAGACACAGACTCACACATTTGGAACATTCATTATATGACGGGGAAGTACTGAAGACCAATGCGAAAAAGAGTATATATTCAATAAATGGAACTGAGAATGAAATGGTAATCTGTGTGGAAAAAGATGCCTTACTCTTCTTCCCAGTTGATATAAACTTTGGATGTACTACAAATATGAATGCCAAAACCAAAATTTTAACTTCAGTAGAAAAAAAATTAGGCATCTACATGATCTTGAAATAGGGAAAATTCTAAGACAAAACACAGGAAACATTGACATCAAAAAATAAAAGAGAAGTCACACATTGTTGAAGATATTCAAAGAACATACAGCTAACAAACTCTTACCAAGTATATATAAATAATGATAATATGTGTGTGTGTGTGTGTGTGTGTATATATATATTTCTTATTATTAATAAGAAAAGCCCAAATAAACTGACTATGGTCCATGCATGTAGTCCCAGTGACTCAAGAGACTGAGGCAGGACGATTGCAAATTCAAGGCCAACCTCCGCAACTTAGGGAGATCCTGTTTCAAAATAATATATAAAAAAGGGCTGAGGGTGTGTAACTTAGGGGTATAGTGCTGCCCTGGGTTCAATCCCCAGTATATCCTGCCCTCCCACACACACAAAAGAAAGAAAGAAAAAGCAGAAACCTCCAAATAACCCTATATAAAAATATAAGCAATAGATAGACACTTTAGAAAAGCAAACACATATGGCAATTAAACTTATGAGGAGATAATTAATATACATTATAATCAGGGAAAAACAGATCAAGGCTACAATGACATGCATTTATATCCATTCACCTAACAACAATTAAAAAGGTTAATAATGCCAATCATTAGAGTTTATGCATGTCTACACTTTTGTGGTGAATCCAGATAACAATTTAGTATTATCCCTGAAATCTAAACATTCATACAGGACTCAGAAGTCATAGTCATATATCCAAGAAAATTTCTTCCACAAGTATGTTCATATCACCACTACTCACTGGAATAAAACTTGTAAATAACATACAGGCCAATCAATGGAAAAACTGAAGGATAGACATTTGGTATATAGGTAGAGGGAATTATTATATAGTAATCAAAATGAATGCTCTTTCATCAATATGGATAAATCTTGACAATAAAGTAGTAAATTAATGATAAGTTATACCCCAATAGAGTAAGTATATATAGACTACTTGAAAGCAAAAAAAAAATCCCTAAAATTTAAGAACATACATTAAAAGAGTATATAGAGATGTAAGACTTCATAAAAAGCAAGTGAGGCTAACTATGAACATAGGATTTAGATTGTTGCCTGTCATGCACGTGGGGAAATAAAGGAATATGATCAGAGTGAACATTTTGACCTGATATGAACCATTTGGAATATGGGTTTGATGTATTTTTTTAAAAAAATTCTATTAGTTATTAATGGACCTGTGTTTATTTATTTGTTTATATGTGATGCTGAAGATAGAACCCAGTCAGTGCCTCACACATGCTAGGCAAGTGCTATACCACTGAGCCACAACCCCAGTCCTTGATGTATTATTTTTAATAACTAAATGAATAAAGAAGAGCCACAGAATGCATTTAAAAAATGATAAGACACCAATGGGTTCCAAAAATAGGGCAGACATATTCAGATTTGTGTTATGGAAGAATCACTGTGGATACAACATGGACAATGCATTGGAGAAGAGCTACTGTCTTCAGGGCACTGGTTAGGAAGCTGTCCAGGAGTCTTGTGTTGGAAGTGATACCAATTATAGCAGACCAGCAGGAATGAGATGTGAGAGAAACAGGCAAAAATTGAAATCTGGGTGCTTGACAGGATCTGGCAGATATTGAAGGTATAGGTTCCATGCACAAGTCTTGGCTTTCTTGGATCCAGTTTCCAGAGGGAGGGCTCATTGTAAGAGATGATTTGAGCAGGATGGATACTGAGTTTATTTCAGA